TAATCTCTTTAGAATGAAATCATAGAGCAAACCTGTCTTATCTTGAAGATATTAAGTTGCCAAGCCAATATAAACTAAAGTTAAAAACAAAGAAATAATAAATTAAACTTTTACTAGTTTCCTAATAGACTAGTTACTATGATACTCCTACGATCGAATGCATAAAATCTGCTCAAATTTACATACAAGCGGTACGAATTTGCAGAGCAGTTAATCTTCGTCATGTCAAAGTTATTAATTCATATAATTTCCGACATAGCGCTTTTATAGCGCGCCCTTGTGCCTGAATGGCAAACATCAAAGCTGAATGATCTCTTCACATTCCGTCAATCGAAGGGGCGTCTACATGTCAACCCTTTCGACGACTCCACAAAGCTGTAGGACTAGATCGGAGGTTAGGCTACGCCCAGATCAAGCCAGACAGCCTTGGCTAAGATTTGGCAAGAAGGTTGCAAATGGGATAAAGCGCTCCATTCTACGACCGCTCGTTTACTGCAAGTTCGGATCTCATTATGGGAGTGCAATTAAAACGAGCTATAACGCACTGTCATGTCCGCTAGCTAGTCGCTGGCAGACACTTCACAATGGGAGCGTTTAATTCGAGGGTTTCAGATCATAGTTATAGCTGGAGTGCAACCTTCGTTAGTCAGAAGTCAGAAGATTCTTAGACAATTAGCGATCGGTTGAGGCGCAGATCGAGATCTCATTGTCTGCCGCGTGCTAAATGTAACCCAAGGTTAGGGGGAAGCTTCCTTGTACCCGTCGCCGATCAAACTCGTGCCCCTTCTTGGTGGCGATGATCGAGGTGGAACCAGCGTAACTCGTTTGGGGTTCTTAGTTAACAAAATTAATATTATTTCGCCGTCTGCGTTTTGGGTTTCGTTTTATTATTATTTTTTGTAAGCCACGGAACCTGTTCTTCGGAGACCCATAGAACCTTGTCTTACTGATGCATAACTAAATACTCCCGGCCTCTCCAGAGATTTGTGACATAATCCCAGAAATCAAGAAGTGTTTTTTAAGCACGTGAAATAAATTATAGAACCGGACTTAAAGTCCCCAATCTGAAATTCTAAACACTCTTTTGCATATCATTGAAGCAAACAGACGAAGAGTTCATCGAAAGGTCAGGGACCGACCACATAGGAAACCTTTTCTGTTACAATATTCTATGGCGAATCAATGGAACATTACAATCGACTATTTGCGGCTAGGAAACCGAGTGATTACGATACCACAAGTCAGTCAGAAAATAAAGTCTAGGAAGTGGAAGAAACCGCCGAGCGACTCGACTCGTTCTTTAATTAAAGAAGAATTAACAGCTTCTCGGGGGGGGAAAAAGCGGATTGGCCAAAGTGCCGAGTCACTGCTCAAGACCACTTCTGTTTTCATTTAACCATTTTATCATCTAATTCTGCGTATTTCTGTTTACTTTATATAGACATGCAATTCCCCAGCAGATTAGAGCATAACACAGAGAACATCGCTCTTAAAAACCCAAGTATCTCAGGGGCTTCCCCTTCGACTCTGCTTGCTGCTTGTTGTGATGGTCTTCTTTGTTTTGTTTGGTCTTCTCATGGCGAATGTTTGTTGTCCATGTTAATATGCCTACGTGCAGTTGATCCGTGACTGATCTGCAGCGGATCCAAATCCGATATCCAACTCCGAATCTGAGTCCGAGCATCTCGCATGTCTGTGCTAATAGGCGAGAGCTTCGTGAATGACTCTATGCGGAGGGCTAGGTTAGCCGGCCTCTGCCTCGATCATTTTCAAGATCAAGGGCATTATATATTTTTATTCATTCATCTTCCTGCTCGGCAAGTTTCAAATGGAGCAGGAAAACAAGAAGAGAAGGTTGGAATTCCGAGATAATAATAGAATTTCAAACAAGAAATTTCCATAATTATGTAACGACATATCTTTAGAGGGTTAGCGGTTAACTAACAATCATTTGTAAGACGAAAATCAAGAGGTTCTGATTTATCTACACCAGAATGTACCCCGATGCAATCAGGGTAGTTTTTGTTTCTTTGCCTGAGCTCACAACAATTCCCAACTGGTTCTAGCACTTCCCTCATGGACACCCTAGAGCCGACCAGAGGAAAGCATACTTACCTGGCGTAGAGGTCAACCGTGATCACGAAGGCGGTTCCTCCGGAGTGAGACTTGGCCATTGCACCCCGGTTGAGTTGACCTCTGCGATTATTCCTAATGTGAGTAACTCGTGCGTGTTATTTTTGGTAGCCGGGAATGGCGTTCGCGCCGTCCCGAACTAAATAATGAATTTCAATAAAAATTATCTAAAATATTTACTCACTAACACTTAGGTGAGACCAACTCTGATTTCTATGAGCAAAAGTCTCAGTGCTGCACGAGCATAAATAATTCCTAATTAAGTGCAATAATAAATTTACTTAGCAGGAGGCTTGTTTTTTTTTCCTTATTTCCATATTACATATTGATTACAGGTTAACGGTTGTTGACATTTTACGGGCTTTTGCCTGCGTGTGTTGTTCATTCATTTTTTATAATTTTTTATCATATAGAAATAAGCGTGCCAAACGTGTTTTGTTTTCAATAAAAGCATCAAAGCAGAGACTTAGCTGAGGCAAAGCAGTTCAATGGGTCAAAGCTAGCATGGTTTCGATGGCTCTAACGCTTCTAGTTGCGTTACTTAGTCCATCTATATGTCTATATCTATACTTGAACTTGATCTGGATGCTGGATGGACTACGTGCGGAAGAGGAGAAGAAGTCGAGAAGCCTTCGCCGAAAGCCAGCAATAAAAGAGTTGTAGATCTTAACTTAAACTTCAACTGTTTCTGCTTTTGCTTTTGTTGGTGGTGCGGTGTTCCGTTCGTTTATTGCCATTATGGCCAATAGCCAGTATTTGACTCACAAATTATGGCCAGCAGTTGTTGCTGAATTGATTAGCTCGCATTTGGCTTTGGCTTTGGCTTTGGCTAGCGGTCTCTTAGCCCCTCGATAAGGTCAAGTTCATTTCCGCATGGTGAGCTAGTAGCTCCAGTAGTTAGCTTAGCTACCTACCTACTACCCCAGAGTAACTGGAGTTGCGGCCAGATTGCATGGGAATGGGAAGGGAAGTTGCCCAAGAGGTCAGCTGGAGTGGCCATAAAACAATTAGCCATTAGACGGGCTTTATGTGACGCACTTTGCAATCGCGGCAATTAGAGTTGGTAGCAATCTCTCCGCGGGTCACGCAACAGAGTCTACCTTTGCCCCTTGATTTTATCAGCCAGCGTGTGAATTGCCGGAAACTTCAAATTTCACTTTCTTGGATGGATTTTATTCTTTTCGGGCTTGATTTTTGAAGTTGAAAGTTTGGAAAAAGGGTTTGTTTACTTTATTTGTTTTTAAATTAAGGAGCACGAAAAACGTTGTGTAAGACCAGTATATCATTTTGTTGTTAACTTCGAAATTAAACAAATTTATGAAAGATTAAAAAAGATATATAAAGCTGAGAATGAGCCCGCTCTTAACTACTCTCAAGTTTAAGTTAGTCAAATGATTTACGGCTCTTACTTATAAGCGAGTTAATTGCTAAATTTCCCCTTCACAGTTGAACTTGATTGTTCTTTGGCGGTCCACTTAATTGCCATAACATCAGTCTCGTTGCCAGACTTCACTGTCAATGGTCAAGTGCAGTGCCTAGCTGAAATTAACCCTCTGCGGTCGAATGATTTGTATCTGTTAAGACAAGAATATCATAATTAATAAGTAATGGTAAGTTAAGCACTGTGATTTTATTAAATACACGTAGCAACTACTTTATAGATTACATATAGATTATATGTATTCTCTTCTAAATTTAAGATGGATTTAAGGGGGTTAAACTCCGTCCAAGAACCGAAATGCACGCCAGCCATTGCAATCCACGGTCAACGCGACAGGTTTCAGGTTTCCTTCTAAGCCCCTGAGCAGCCAAATCGTTGGTTTTGACACAGATATAGCCAAGTTATACCCGTATTGGACGGATTGGGGCTTGCATTTGGCATTTTGTTGGCCAAACCGCCGAGATACGGCCACCAGGTGACCTCGACTTTCAATCGCCATGAGAATGTGTCTGGCATTCTTCTCCAATGTGTCTTCAAGATGTTTCTCACACAGATTTTGATACGCACTTCAAATCGAGAATTACATGCCGATAGGCATCGCGAGAATAACAATTACGAGAGGGATGCATTTTCGCCATGATATACGGGCTTTACATCTGGGCAGGCTCACACCAATTAACCCACAATTACAATAGAACTTAATCATGTGCCTTCTAGTCAGAGTCGAGCTGCTGGGCAAAGGGGGTTAAGCGATGGGGCTGGGCATAAGGGGGCGTGTTAATAACCGCGCTAAGTTCAAGAACATCGCTGATGGTTATTGTCATAGTTTCGCCGCGGCAATATGTAATTAAATCTGCGGATTGCAATCGATTATAAATACGTTTAAGCCATTTGCGCGTATCGAAGGTTTCACCTGGTCAGTGAGTGAGTGATTTCATAAATTGTTATGGGTTAAGAGCTATAATTTCCTTCTTTGCCACCAACTTGGAAAGGGGTGAATAATTTATATAAAGTTATATGTAGTAGGGAGTTTTATACTCTTTATAAGGACTCAATTTACACATAGAAATAATGTGTCATTTTAGTCATGGAAGGAAACTTTATTGTATTTCAAGTTATTTAAAATTTTTTAAAGTTTTTAGCCAGCATTTCAAGTTTTATTTAGCAAGATATGAAATGAAGTAGAGTTAGTTATTAAGCTCTTACCTTGAATTCGCTTCAAAAACATTGTTCGAGTTCGCTTGAAACTTCAGCTCTCTGTTATTGAGATTATATTGTTCGAGTCTTCGCTTACTTTTGATTGTCAAATGTAAAATGGTTTTGCGCTCTGCTGAGATATCTCTCTAAGACACTAACACTTAGTGTTACCATTTTACAATGGCATTTTTATCGTTCAGTATATAAGCCATTTTCCCATCTGGTAACACTTCAGACAAATAAAAAATTTATTCAACTTCGTTGCAATTGCATTTGCAATCTGTGCTCAGAAAGAAACCCGTAATCGCAAACAGAAGAACAAACTTCCCTACTTTATAGCAGTAAATTTAAAACCGGGAAAATGGATAGAGCTGGCCTTTTGGCCGTTTTGGCACTTTTCTGCGCCTTCGGTGAGTGCGAATTGCGACGAAAAAGTGGACTACAATAATAGTTTAGTCATAGCTAATTGCGTATTCGTACTGTGTGTCTCAACTGTTCGCCTCTTTGTTTGTTTTCGGTTTTCTAGGCTTCTTCGCCGCTGCCACGCCCATTGGAGGCGAGCAAAAACTTCTGGGAGCCAGCAAGTGCACCTGGGGACCATCGTATTGGTGCGGAAACTTCAGGTGAGTGGAAAATGGGGTGGTTCCAAAACAACGGAAAAACCGGATAAATCGCTTGGTCATCGAAGGCAGCGTAGAAAAAGTTCTCGAAGGGGCGCATCTAACCCCTTTTAACCCCTCTCCATATCGCGTTATTGTTATTCTCTGTTTGCCATTTGCCCATTGTTTGCACTGCAGACGCTTTTGTTGTTGTCTTCCTGGCGATAAGACTATCACTCGAATCGAATCAAATCGTACTGTGCTCTATATAGCACTATAACTTGATAACCTCTGTTATTGCAAACTTAACACTAGCGCCGCTCCAATTGCGCCCTCTTTTTTACTCGAATACCGCTAGAAAAACAAATCTGACATTATTTTTTAGTAGCCATTAAGAAAGTAGAGCTATCTTATATTGTTAGGCTTTATTTTACTTATTATGTGCAAGGGAAAATATATACCTTGTTGTTCGATCTAAACAAACTGAGGAACTGCAAACTATTATAAATAAACAAATTATTTCTCAGAGTGTATTTTTCGCAATTCCCTCTTTTCCACATATCCTCCCGTACTTCTGCATTCTCTTTGTTTTCGCATTCGCCTTAAATCAAATTAACAAAATGCAGACGAAACTTTTCAGACAGCCGAACAAAGTTAATCGCTCGTTGGGGGAAAACTTTATCGACGCGACTATCTGCATGAGTAATCCCAAAGTTGGGATTATTCAGGAACACCCCTTTCCCTTTTCCACATTCACAAACGAATGAACCACATGATTGGTTTATTTATCATCGTTAAATGAGTTGAAAGCAGCAACAGTTGTTCCTTATCAACTGATTCTGACTAATCCCTCGGGCATATAACGCTTACAGGCGAACATCGGAAAGTGCAACATGTCAATATATTACACCGAAATAAACCAGACCTCCGAAGTTCTTATCTGAGCTCTAAAAATAGAATAAAATAGAAACTACAATTCATGATGCTTGATAGAATTTTAGTCGACTATTTGGCCAGTTTGCAGAAGCCACACTGTACGTGCATATGTAACACAGAGATCAACTTACAAACAGCCTCTGCTGGGGTTACTTAATTACTAAAATAAAAACAATACATAGGCAAGAGAAAATATTTGTTAAGAACCTATCGCTTATCGCTGGTCATAATTCCTTTGTTTATTGATTGATTTATTTTTAAATACCAAGGAAAATCCGCCATTTCTGGCTCTTAACTGTTTCTTTGTTTGTCAATTAACGGCGAAAAATTGTAGAGCCGCGAAAATTAAAAACGTCGCCATTGCTGCTGAAATTTCAAAAAACAATATCTGTGAATGCGCAGCCAGCGAACAATATAATATATATTCGTGGATACCTCCAGGTATATCATACATACAAACAGTTTATTTCCGTGCTTATCTCTGCTTTTTTTTCTTGCTTTCTAGACGCTTTTGTTTGGTATTCCTGCTGATTCCAACACACACACTTTTTAATGCTAATACAAATTAGCACTTTTTGATCGAATCACCAAATCGATTGATATTGGATAAATAACATTACTAGGGCGGGTATATTGCTCTTCTTTTTAAACGCTTTCTGTAAATGCTTTTTGCGGGTTTTTTTTCAAACTGTATGTCATGGGTTGAACCAAAATACAGAGATTGTGGTACAGAGGATTGGGTACCAAGCGGTCCCATCTCGGCAATTCAAAAATATTACTTGTGGGCTTTTTATGATTTATTTAGGCACAATCTAGAAGATATATATTAAGTAAGAACAAATGTAAAGTACTTTTCTAGTTATTCACAACTTGTTCGAAAAGAATGGTTCTCAAATGAAATCCCCCCAAAGACATAATCATGTGCGGTGCGGGTGCTTTGTAAAATAGCCAAGGGCTGCTCCCTTTCCAGTGGACTCTGATCTTCGCTGACTCGTCGATTTCGAGTTGGTCACTCGAATGCAGGTCATTTGATCTAAGCGGCGGAAACCGCTTGCTCAGCTTGCAGTCCGGCTGTTGTTATTCATATGGGTTTATCTTTTAACTTAGGAAAAAATGTGTAATATCTGGTTTCCTTTACAGCAACTCCAAGGAATGTCATGCCACCCGCCATTGTATCCAAACCGTCTGGGAGACCCAAAAAGTTCCCGTGGACACGGACTCGATCTGCCAGATATGCAAGGACATGGTTACGCAAGCCCGCGATCAACTGAAAAGCAACGAGACCGAGGAGGAACTGAAGGAGGTCTTCGAGGGCTCCTGCAAGCTGATTCCGATCAAGCCGATCCAGAAGGAGTGCATCAAGGTTGCCGATGACTTCCTGCCAGAGTTGGTCGAGGCCTTGGCCTCTCAAATGAATCCAGACGTGAGTTTTTTATCTTTTGCAAACTGCATTTCCTCTTCAACATCTTATTGATTTTCTCTTTTTGAATCACTAGCAAGTTTGTTCTGTGGCCGGACTCTGCAACAGTGCCCGCATCGATGAAATGTTTAGGGCCGGCATTCAGTCGGGCCTTGATGGAACTGCCGTGGATGAAGATAGCTCTGAGGAGACCGAGCTTACATGGCAGCCCAATAAACTTTCCTGCGGCAACTGCAATCTGCTTTCCCGCTTGATGCAATCCAAGTTTGCGGCCGTCGACCGCGATGACATGGTGGAAACGATGCTCCATATGTGCGGATCCCTCTCCAGCTTCTCAGATGCCTGTGCCAACATTGTGCTGACCTATTTCAATGATATTTACAACCATGTCAGCAAGCACTTGACCACGGACGCCGTGTGCCATGTGTCTGGAGTGTGTGCCTCCAGATATCACCAGCACGAGGAGGATAAGCAGCCGGAGGAGACCTTGATCGCTTTGGATGCCGGTGATGATATTCCCTGCGAGCTGTGCGAGCAGCTGGTAAAGCACCTCCGTGATGTCCTTGTGGCCAACACCACCGAAACCGAGTTCAAACAGGTTATGGAGGGATTCTGCAAACAGTCACGCGGATTTAAGGACGAGTGCATCAGCATCGTAGACCAGTACTACCATGTAATCTATGAGACTCTAGTAAACAAGCTGGATGCCAATGGAGCCTGTTGTATGATCGGAATTTGTCAAAGGAACTCCGTCTCCTCGATGAAGGATGCACCGATTATGCCCCTGCTGCCTGTTATTGAGCCTGCCCAAGTGAAGATTACCATCGAGAAACTGGAGAAACACGAAAAGAAGCAGCTGGGTGCCAGTGAGCCCAAATTCAGCCAACAGGAAATCCTTGACATGCAACTGCCAATCGATCACCTCATGGGCGCAGCCAATCCCGGAGCTTTGGTCGAGGGCGGAGAGCTCTGCACCCTCTGCGAGTACATGCTTCACTTTATCCAGGAGACTCTGGCCACCCCAGCCACTGATGACGAAATAAAACACAGCGTGGAGAACATCTGCTCCAAACTGCCTTCTGGAGTCGCCGGTCAGTGCCGTAACTTTGTGGAGATGTATGGCGATGCTGTGATTGCTCTGCTCGTCCAGGGACTGAATCCTCGGGATGTGTGCCCCATCATGCAGATGTGCCCAAAGAATCTGCCCAAAAAAGACGATGTCGAAGTGTTCCGTCCTCAACCAGTCGACGACGATCAGGACTCGCCCACTTGCCCACTGTGCCTCTTTGCCGTCGAGCAGGCCCAGATCAAGATCCGTGACAACAAGTCCAAGGACAATATCAAGAAGGTTTTGGATGGCCTCTGCACTCATCTACCTAGCAAGCTGAAGGTCGAGTGCGTGGACTTCGTTAACACCTATTCCAACGAGCTGATCGACATGCTGATCACGGATTTCAAGCCACAAGAAATCTGTGTGCAGCTCAAGCTCTGCCCGAAATCCACAAACGCTCTCAGCGACTTGGGTATTTCTCTGGAGGATGACGTCGATGGTGAGGACAAGTCCAGCAGCGAGGAGATCAGCTCCAACAATATTGACTCCCTGGAAGAACTACCGCCTCAGCTGGCCTTCGACGAAGGATTCAATGCTGCTCCAAATTGCCTAATTTGCGAAGAGTTGGTCAAGACCCTAGAGAAGCGCATGGGCAAGCACCCCACTAAGGACAGCATCAAGCAGATCTTGGAAGAGTCCTGTGACAGGATGAAGAAGCCACTCGCCGGAAAATGCCACAAGGTTATCGACAAGTTCGGAGACCAGATCGCCGACCTTCTACTGAAGGAAATGGACCCCAAGCTGATCTGCACGGAATTGGGAATGTGCATCCTGGCTGATCTGTATGATCGTGAGTATTCTGTTATGTTTTTATTTTCTTAGTAACTAAAATAATTGTTTAACACAGTTGAAGTGGATGAGGCTTTGAAGTACGATGTGATTGCCCTGCCCCATCAGGACGACAAGATGTCCAGCATTAAGGAGCCGCCCACCTGCGTCCTGTGCGAGTTCATCATGACCAAACTGGAGGCCGATCTGAAGAACAAGACCGAACAAGACGACATTAAGAGAGCGATTGAGGCGGTATGCAACCGTCTGCCAGCCACTGTTCGCAAACAGTGCGATGCCTTCGTAGACGGATATGCCTCCGCGGTGCTGAAATTGCTAAGCGATGTGCCACCCAAAGAGGTGTGCCAGAAGTTGCAACTCTGCTTCAGCGTGGCTGTGACCGATGAGGTTGTGGAGTGCGGTGTGTGCCACGGAGTTACCCAGGCTCTGGTGCCCTTCCTGCGAGAGAAGAAAGACGAGGACGTAACCGCCATGCAAATGACATCGACGGCTTGCGAGACCTTGCCAGCCAAGTACTACAAGATTGTAAGAGTCCATTATATTTGTTTATATAACAAAGGCTATAAGTCTTTCTTACTTACAGTGCTCTGAGATGATCTCCATCTATGGCAACAGCATTAAGAACCTGTCCAAGCGATCCTATATGGATCAGTCGCATATCTGCGCCGAAATCGGAAAGTGTTTCGATAGCGAGAAGTCTTCGCTGGCCTTTGCCAGAATTTCAGGTAAACTTTAATCTTTCAAAGTCTAAATATATCCATGTAACTATACAATCTTCAACAGCCTAAGTGATGCATTGTGATGTGCGGGAAAGACGAGAGGGAGTAGCAGGATTAGCCGAAGGTTGAGGAGAAGTAGGGAGCCGATCCCACGCTTTATATATGCATATATCTTTACATATATCTGTTTACATTCTATAACGATTTACTGTAAATGAAACATAATTACTTATTTTTCGTTTCTGTTTCCCCGGTTTTTGGCTCTAAATTTGTTAGGAGAATTTGTGATGAAACAGATTTTATATACGCACGCAAACCCGGCTGAAAGAAGTAAAACTTAACTAAAACTAACTCTTACACTAAGCAGTAACCTAAAAGTACTTTCAATTTACGAATTAGCGAAATCCACAGCCACTAACTTTGTATCGATATCCCCATCTGTCCGAAGTCAGCTGAGCAGTGTGTGTAGTTTAAGATATCAAAGAAAACTGTGTAAAATACGAACATTGATCTTATAAATCATAAAGAAAACATAAACCGACAAAGCAGCACCTTATTGAAAATTCCGAATTGTCCCTGGATCCGTATATATATTTTCTATCCGATATGTTCGAGAATTCACTGTTGATTATCAAGCCGGACTATCTGCATAAGCGGCGTCCGGTGCTTTTGAAATTGCTGTCTGAGGGATTCCAGCTTCAGGGTAATCGAAGGATTGCCTTTTCCCCGGAAACCGCGGCCGAGTTTTATGCCGATTATGCCGATGAAAAGGGCTTTATGCTGGAGGTCATTCTGCTTTCGAAGGGCGTTTCTGAAGCATTCATAGTTACCAAGGAGAACGGCTTTCAGGACCTGCTCAACATCATGATTTGTTATTTGTGAGTTTACTTTGCGATTGCATTGTGCCTTCTATATCAGAGTTGTACTGCTAGTGGTTCGGCATCAGATCTGGAACGCAATATCCACGTTACAAAGAATAGTTTCAGCGTTGCCCGTGAGATAAACTTTATTTTTCCCAACTGTAAGTACGATCTTTAGCATGAGAAAGTCGTCTAATTACGGTTCTGAGTATAATTTATCGGCTCATGCTCAGATATTCATGAGCCCCATCAGATGTTCGACCACAATAACTTCTGCAATCGACCGATGCTGAAGCCGTTGATGCAGGAGATCTACGATGTAATGCAGAATGAAGACTGCAGCCAGGAGAACTGGAAGGTGCGCTTGTCGGATTACCTGGTGCGCAGCAACCCAAAGATGCCGCAAATCAGCAACCAGTGTCAACAGAGGCCGGATGTGGGCATCCAGGACAAATCGCAGCAGACCACTATGACCTATGCCCCCAAGCCCAGTGCTAGGGGTGTTCAACCACGTGCCAAAAAGACCCAGAGTAGCAGTTCACCATTGTCCACCACATCACCACACTCTTCGATGCTGCTCTCATCTTCTTCGTGTGTCACATGTGGCGGATTCGAGAGGACTGAGACTTGTATCTCGGAGTTGGATCTGAATAAGCGAGTGGAGCCGCATGATGCCGAAGAAGTTTGCGTAGACGAGGAGATCCTGTGGAAGGAGGTGGTGGTTTTGGAGGAAATCCAGCCGGAGGAGGAGCAGGAGTCCAAGGAGGCGCACATTTTCGACATGGATGAAGAGCAAGAAGGGGAGGCAGGTGTCTCGGATGTCGAATCAGATAAGAGTGTTCATGAAGCAGCGCCACCACCAGCCAAAGAGGAGGAGTCAGATGAGGAAGGTGCCGCTGAGCCAGTCGAAGCTGCCGCAGCTCCAGAAGTGGTTCCTCCTGCGGAAGTTGCAGAAGTTCCCCCTCCGGCTCCAGAAGCTCCTCCAGCAGAGGCAGCCCCTCCAGCTGAGGAAGCTCCTCCAGCCGAAGAACAGGCCGAATAGATTCAGTTTCCTAGTACACCTGTTGCCCCAATATTTGTTTGTTGTAGCATAGAAAAAATGGTCAGAAAAGCGCGCAATTTTTGCCACACCGACAACTGCACCAGCACCAGTGGAAACCACCTTCGAATGGCAATTGCGCACTCTCAGAATTTCGGTAGGAGGGTTCCAAATGCTGGCCCTGCAGTTTTTTGCCCCCAGAAAGTGCATCCCACACGGCAGCAACATCAACAGGAGCAACAGCTTTTTAGCCTCCAACTTTCCGGCAGCAAAATGGCACTGTTTTTTCTCCCTTTCAAGTGGCCAATAAAAAAACGTAGAACAATAAAACAATGAAATCAAAATAAATTTATGGGCCAACTTTCAGCGGAAAAGTGGGTGTTGCATGTGGCACACTTTTTCGCGGTGCAAAATGCCCTGCAATGGTGCTGCCATTAACCCAATTAAAGGGATAACTATAGACTGCGTGGGTTAATTACAATAAATTGGCGTTTTATCGATCTTTTATTAACTTTGATCAAAAATGGTAGTTGCATTTTTAAAGCTTATTTATTTACTTCACTTAAGATAATACTAAGCATAAACTGAATCTTAGCTTATAATTAAACTGTACATCTTTAAAACATAGGTGATAATCTACCTGTCGCAGGAGAGTGCTCACTAATGAGCTGCACAGTGGTTCCAATTTTAGAGATTAAGCAAAATTATAGTAAAACTATATTTTAAATGGATATATACTATATGGTTAATTAAAAGCCCTCGAAAATGAGTTCAAGTTTCTTTCGTAACTCTTATTCGGATCTTGCGTTTTTCATTTTTTAGGCAACTTTAGCCAGTGACCTTACCACTGTGTCCCTTTGAGCCACCTCAGCAATTGGGATTGCAAAAGGTTGTTGGGGCTGCAGTTGTTGTTGCTGCTGCAGTTGTGTTTCAATGCCGGATCGTTCCCTCGTTCCACTGTTCCCAGTAACCACCACCGGAACAGTGGGAGTGGAATGGGGGAGCGGGAGAGCGCAAAAGCTTTATCTTCCGCTCGGGCGCCGTGAGGTATGCAATGCTTTTCGCCTTGCGTACCGTACCGCTTCCGCTTTTCATCCAAAAAGCAAAAGCAAATCGACAGTCGGTATCTGTCTGCCTTTTCTCTGCTCGCATCCCACATCCTGCGTCCTGCGTCCCGTCTCCCTTCAAAATAACAAATAATTACTCAAAATAATAATAATTGAGGGGTGTGAGGCCGCGGAGCTTTTGCGTCGACGTCGAGTCAAAAAAGTGGCAGAGAAGTGAATCGGTTTCGGTTTCGCAATACATACACAAACAATAGGCTCTGGGAAGTAGACGACGGCGAATCCTTGGCGGCTCAGCATTTCCACCGAATTCGCGTCGAGGAAAAGCGGAAAATCGGAAAAGCAGAGACCATTTTCGTATTGATTTTCAAGTGTGGTAAGCGGAAAACGCAACGAAAGTCAAAGCGAATACGTGAATACGTGAGAAAACCCCACCAACTGGCAGTGAAAACGCGAACGAAAATGTCAATGGCCAGGCCAAAGAAAAGGGGCGGTGGTGGGTTAAGGAAGTGCTAAAATAAGCTACAAACGGGCACCAAATTGAATCCCAAGAACTAAAAATAGTCAAGTGACATAGTGCAGTGTCGGCGGGAAAAGGTGGGAAAAACTCAAACTCAGAAGTAGTGTCTAAATTATAGCGCGCTTAAAAATAAATCCGGGCAGACACGGAAAAGCCTCAAACCTGGGTGCCAAAAAGCTGAAGAAGCAGAAGAGGAAGCCCAAAGAAACGGAAGAGGAAGAAGCGGCCGGCATACACACACAACCACAAGGGGGTGGCAAACCGAAAGTTGGTTTGGGAAAAGCTCAAGTCACAAATTTTTGCGCAAGGGCAGGCCGAGTCGAACCGAGTCGAGTGCTTTTCCGCAAAGAGGGTGGCAGACGCCTCAGTCGCTGCCTCGGTCGACGGCGTGCTGGCGAAATTTCGCAACACTCGCACAATCGCACACCACACTCCCCCACGATTTACAGTTAGGGGTGGCATTGCTTCGGTTTCAGGAACGGAATGGGATTGGGACGATAAGATAGTGACAAGACTAACGGAGTTTGGAATACCCTTGCAGCTCTTTAGATATAATAAGATTTATTATTTAAGTTTGTTTATTTGTGTTTTCAAAAATAAACTTAAAAAACGTATGTTACCTTCCTAGAACGGCGCCGTTAACATGGACAAGATGACGGTTGCCCAGAAGAACGCATATCTCGAGGCGCACATGGCGGTGCAGCAGCAGATGGCCCAGGCGGCCATTCAGTTCAAGCAGCAACAGACATCCCAGCAGCAGAACTCCCCCACGACCAACAACAACAACAACAGCCAGAACAACGGCAACATGCAACAGCAGCAGCAACAGCAACAACAGCAGCAACAGCAGCAGCAACAACAACAACAGCAACACTATGCGGCCACAATAAAGGTGCCACAGATCAGTTCCTCGAGTGTGGCAGCTGCGGCGGCGGGAGAGAGCACCTTCACAGTTCCGGACGATGGGATGGGCTTCGAGGGAGGCGTCAGGGTCCTTCAAAGCCTGGGCACTTGGTCTGCGGCGGAGCAGCTGACCTATAACATCCCCAAGCCGAACCTCATCCCCTTCACAGAGCCCTACGTCGAGGGGGGCTCCATGCACCCTGCCAGTCGACTTAAAGCACTCCAACAGGTGCAGCAGGCATCCTCGGGGGTGCGCAAGACGAATCCCTCAAAGTGTGAGTACTTCCCCTTAAAAAATATGTGAAATTTGGTCTCTCCTACTTCTACGCCTAAAACAATCAGTATTATGATCATAGAAAAGCCAATAATGATCAGAATTCCTAGTCGAACTGCATTCACAGTTCAAAATGTGATTTTTTTTTAATACTTTGCCAATTTTAAAATTTTAACAAATACGTGAATTTCTTCGGCTTATCCTTATTTTCTCCTCAGTACAACAGTTTGGTTTCCATAACTTAGCCAACAATGGTCCAAATATGGAATGCCATACCTCGTTGAGCTTATTTTCTAATTCCTAGTTAAACTGCATTCACAGTTTAAAATGTACGATTTTTGCCATTTTTTGCAAATTTTGATGATGTTACCCCTTGTAGAAAATGCGAATTTCGGTTTACCCTTATTTTCCCCTCAATCCGACAGTATTGTTCCCGTAAGTAAGCCAATAATGGTCCAAATATGGAATGTAATACCTCGTAGTGCTTGTAATTTAATTTCTATGATTGCCAATCGATTTGCACTCGAATCGGGAAAACTTAATTTTCGACCATTTTTCGAAAATTTTGATGATGGTACCCCTTATAAAAAATGCGAAATTTAGCCGAAAATTGATTTTCCCAAAATCGAAAAACGAGTGATAGGGGTGGTAAGTGGTGGTCGTTAGCAGCACAAAACAGTCGTTCTTTTGGCTGTGCGACATGTTTTGACCGATCTAGAGCTATAAACCCGAACACAGTATTGCAAATTTCCTTTAAAAATAGGTTTCCTGATTTTTCGGCCCTTAAACCGGAGCTAGCAAGAAAATACCCGACCAGTTATTATTAAAGCAAGTAAAGGGGTTTAAAGTTTTGGTTGTTAGCTGCATAAAACAGTCACTTTTTAAGCCGAGAGCCTTGTTTTGACAAACTTAGAGCTAAGAAAGGGCAAGAATCTGGGCTCTAAACGTCGTATACGAGTACTTGACTTTGGACCCCAAAAAATCAGTTTTTTAGCCATAGCACAGCCAAAAATGGTCCAAATATGGAATGTAATACCTCGTAGGGCTTGTAATTTGATTGCCAAGATTGCCAATCGATTTGCACTCGAATCGGGAAAACTTAATTTTCGGCCATTTTTCGAAAATTTTGATGATGGTACCCCTTATAAAAAATGCGAAATTTAGCCGAAAATTGATTTTCTCAAAATCGAAAAACGAGTGATAGGGGTGGTAAGTGGTGGTCGTTAGCAGCACAAAACAGTCGTTCTTTTGGCTGTGCGACATGTTTTGACCGATCTAGAGCTATAAACCCGAACACAGTATTGCAAATTTCCTTTAAAAATAGGTTTCCTGATTTTTCGGCCCTTAAACCGGAGCTAGCAAGAAAATACCCGACCAGTTATTATTAAAGCAAGTATAGGGGTTTAAAGTTTTGGTTGTTAGCTGCATAAAACAGTCACTTTTTTAGCCGTGAGTCTTGTTTTGACAAAGTTAGAGCTAAGAAAGGGCAAGAATCTGGGCTCTAAACGACGTATACTTGACTTTGGGCCCCAAAAAATCAGTTTTGTAGCCATAGCACAGCCAAAAATGGTCCAAATATGGAATGTAATACCTCGTAGGGCTTGTAATTTGATTGCCAAGATTGCCAATCGATTTGCACTCGAATCGGGAAAACTTAATTTTCGGCCATTTTTCGAAAATTTTGATGATGGTACCCCTTATAAAAAATGCGAAATTTAGCCGAAAATTGATTTTCTCAAAATCGAAAATCGAGTGATAGGGGTGGTAAGTGGTGGTCGTTACCGGTACAAAACAGTTGTTCTTTTGGATGTACGGCTTGTTTTGACCGAGCTAGAGCTTAAAACCGAACACACTATTGCAAATTTCTGTTAAAAATAGGCTTCCTGATTTTTCAGCCAATAAATCAGAGCTCGCAACAAAAAATCAGAACAGTAATGACAAAAGCAAGTATAGGGGCTTAAAGTTTTGGTTGTGAGCTGCAAAAAACAGTCACTGGTTTACCTATGCGTCTTGTTTTGACAAAGTTAGAGCTAACAAACTGCAAGAATCTGGGCTCTAAACGACGTATACTTGACTTTGTCGAAAATGCGAAATTCGGTTTCCCTTACTTTCCATTTAAAATAACAGCATTTGTCCCATAACATAGCCAATACTGGTCCAAATATGGAATGTTGAGCTTGTTTTTTAATTCCGAGTCAATCTGCATCTAAACCCCAAAAATACAGATTTTGCCATTTTTCGCAAATAAGATTATATTATCAAAAAATGAAAAGTTCGATCATAAATTAATTTTTGGAAATCAACCGGAAAAGGATAGTGATCGTTTGTTTTGGTAGATGGGTTTAGCCGTGCATCTTGTTCCGAAAAAGTTAGAACTAACAAAGCATTAAAAATAAGTTTTTCATTTACACCAAATTGAGGTCTTAACCCAATGTCCAATCGATTGGGATGAGACATAAAAAGTGGTATAAATTTTAATCGATAATCTCTCTGCTTTTATAGCCACCAACAAGGCATTCGAGTGCACGGTCTGCGGCAAAGGACTCGCCCGCAAGGACAAGCTGACCATCCACATGCGCATCCACACCGGCGAGAAGCCCTATATTTGTGAAGTATAAGCTGCCCTCGAGCCCCTGCACCCCTAGCCTATGTCAATCTCTAACCCTCGTTCTGAAATCCCTCTTTTCAGGTTTGCAATAAGGCGTTCGCAAGGCGGGACAAACTGGTCATCCACATGAACAAGTTCAAGCACGTGACACCCACGAATATTGCACCGCTCGGAAAGCGATTGAACAACATGGTGAAGAAGAAGGAGCAGCCGGATCCTCCGCCAGAGGACAATAAGCAGAGCCTGGAGCTTCAGCTACAGCAACAGGCTGTCCAGGTGGCCGCCCAGAATATTATAGTGCAATCCGCTCAAGGAGCCCCGACGTCCATTCCCGGTATCATCATACCGCACCACCAACAGCAGCTGTCCTGGACATGCGAACTGTGCGGCAGGATGTTCTCGAGTCGGGACGAGTGGTCCATTCACGCCAAGAGTCATCTGGAGGTGAGAAGATGTCGGTAGACACTCCTGGCCCAAGTAAAGCCAAGGAGAGATTAATGGATGCATCTGGAGTGGATTTAACTCCTTCTTTTTTCTCTCTCTTTTATGTACAGTATTGACAGCCGGAACGGCTAGTCGCAGAGTCAACAAAACCAGCAGCAGCAGCGGCGGCAGGAGTCATTGCTAAGACCACCAGCAGCAACAGCAACAATAATCGCAGCTACCAAATGGATGCTAATCAAAATCAAATTCAAATGGAGGCCCAAGCACGCAAGCAGAAGATAATCATACAAAACCAGATGATACTCAATGCCAGCCATCAGCAGCAGCAGCAGCAGCAACATCCTCAGCAGGCGCAACACCAACAACAGCAGCAGCAGCAGCAGCAACAGCAGCAACACGTGGCCCATGGAAAGAAGGCCGCCAGAAAACACCAGCAACATCTACAGCAACAACAACAACAGCAGCAGCAGCAACAGTCCAGTGCGCCTATGTACAATAACAATAGTAGTAGCAACCACAACGGCAACAACCAGAGCCAAGAAGTAACTACCTATTAAAAACAAGACCAAAAATGAACTGAAAACCACAGCAACACCAACAGCCAACAGCAACATTGAACACCAAAAACTGTAGAAAATTCACAATTTCCGCATTCTGTATTCTGTTACCCTTCCGTTTACCCCTTTCCCTGCAAATCCAGGTGTCGGTGCCGGTGTCGCACATCATTGCCAATTCCCCAACGGCCGCTACCTACATGCAGGCTCAGTTGAGCGAGCACGCCAGCGCCAGCAACATGCAACACGGCATGCCCATTGTCACTTACAATGGGAATCAGTACTGCGTGATCACCAGGGCCCCGGATCTGGATGTGGAGGCGATGCAGAAGCCTCTGGACTACGGCCATGCAGCCGGTGGAGCCACCAACATCATAGTAATGTCGCCGATGCAATTGCTGCCCCCTCAGCAGCAGCAGCAACAGCCGCAGCAGCAGCAACAACAACAGCAGCAACAGCAGTAAACACCATCGAAGAGAAAGGCTTCGATGCCTATCAGCTATAAATACAATTTGTAAATAAAGTCTTAAGCAGCCGAGAGCGAACCTAAGTATATGTTTAACACTACCCAGCAAAACCAAAGTTTGTAAATGTCAGATATACATAATGCATAGATCCCCCGTGTCAGCGAAGTCAACTCGAAATCAAACGTAGTCTAAGCAACCTAACATATCCCCGCAGCAAGTATATAGTACCCATCTACATAAGGCAGCCACCACACTGAGATATATATGCCATTCCGATGCAGTTTTCAGACCCCCAGCAGTAGCATCCCACATAGACCCATATTCAACCGAGCGTGTATGATATTGTATGTGTTTCTATGGCATTGTTTGTACATTAAGCTAATTACGTACTCCAATTACGTCTTCGACTAAACGCAACTTGGGAGGTAAACCAAAAAACCAAAAACCAAAATAATTATGAAATGAAAAACAAAAGTAGCAGTAGTAGTGTCGATCAGCAAAGCTCCCCACACATCTCCCACTCGATTCCAATGGCAAACCATGTAAAGATCAAGCGAAAATAAATTTAATTTAATTAAATAAAATTAAAGGAATTTTATTAAACGTATGGGTTTGAGTTATGGTAGGTACATTGACTTTAATACATATATTTATTACACCTTAAAGTCTGTAATTTATTTCGTTTTTATCATATCAGCTAGCGACAGTGAGAGAATAATGAGTCCCTGTCTCATTTAAATCATGTAATGTTACGTATACGCAATGTCAGCCATACCAAGCATGATTCAAGTGACACTCACTACGAATTGAAGCCATTAAAGCACCCAATAATTGGCAGCTGTTGTCGTTTATTATTCTTGGCTGGCCAACTTTGGCGGCATTCTCGCTTTTTGGTCCATACAGACTGGCCAAAAGCGAAGTTAAACCAAAACATTTGGTCAACGCTGAGCTCACGAAAAGCAACTTTTTGTTCCAAAAGTGAAAAATTCAGCGATTTGACCTTAGATGGAAACTCGTCTCTGTCGCAGCGCCGTCGACTTCGCTGCCGACGTCCACGCTGCAATGGCAGCAAATAAATTTCTGCCTCGAAATGCTGTTTGCGTTTGTTGTTAATAACACAAGTCACTCGAAGAGTTTCCAATGGGGTAAGATGGTTCTTTCGAAGATCCTGCAACATCTCACGGTAAAAATATGAATGAATAGAGCTATAGGGTATACCAAGCCTCTTATGATGGCTCATAAATCCCAGCTGCTAAAAAGGGTTCTAAAACGATTCTTATAAGTCATATTAATCATGAATATTTCTAAGCTTTCTTACGTTAGAGTATCTAATAGTTGCGGCATTGCTAACCCCTAGTTTTTACTCACTTCTCGAGTTGTTTTTCGCAAGAATCGCAAATTAGTCTGGGCCCTGGTTGATCACCTGAGTAAACTCGAACTCGAAGTCAAACGCCTACGACAAATGACAACGCCGATGGCGACGCCAACATCTCTGCTCTCAACCTCCGGCGGATTCTTTTTGTGTCAGTCGGTTTGCGGAGCAGTCGCCGATCAGTCGAGTTGACCACCAATCCGGTGAAGATTGAGTGATCATGCTGAACGGAAAATTCTACACGGGTCTGCCGCCCAAGATGGTGGAACGCCAGGCGGTGAAGGTGTGCAATCGTCAAGAATCGCACTTTTTCTGGCCAGACGATTCTCGAGCGGATTCCGCAGTGGAAAATCGAGTGAAGCGAAGGAACAGCCAGCAGTTGGAAAAGCCTGTGGAGAGGATTACTTCCGTTCAGGATTCCCCCACCGAAGTGGACACGCGGCGGATGTTTCACAAGGAGTTCGCCAGTTCATCCATACAGTTCTATGATAATCTTCAGTCGAATCCTGGCAAAAGACCACCCTTAGGGAGGGGATTACGCAGGGAATTGACTCCCAAGCTAACTGAAGTAAGACCCCAGGAAGTGGATACTAAAGCTGAGGATACTTCCAGCCGTCGCCAGCAGGCTTATAGCTCTAAGATCCAGTTCTACGATTATGTGAATGAAGCCGATAATGTCACTCAAAATAATGCAAGGAGACCACAAATTGACCTTAATGACAAACGAGAAGTGGAACTCAATTCCAAGAACAGTCCCAAGCTGCAGGTCAAGAGAAATGTGCGCAGTTTCAGTGTCGAACTAGAACCCAAGGTCACCAAAAAGCCTCTCAATGACAGCCCCGAATGGCGACGACCACGCCCACTGCCACTGCCACAGCCCAAAAAGATACTAAAGCAATCGGCACCAGATCAGGATGCCTATGATTACCTGGAAAACCGGGTGAGGCGATTACAACTCACCAGAAGTCCTGGATTGCCCAAAAAACATGTGACCTACAACGAAGAGGCCGCGGAATATGCCTACTACGATGACCGGGAAGATCGTGAGGAGCCCACTTTCGAGAGTCGCCCTCGTCAGCAGCCAAATATGCCGACAGGAAGTCGACAGCAGCAGCAACAACAACAGTCACAGCAGCAACATCACAACCAACAGCAACATCAACGCTCTTTTATGGAAACTAGTCGGGCCAAGCCATTAAATAATAATAATAATAATTATCAGGCCAACGCCAGCACTAGGAAAATGTTGCCAAAATTGCCAGAGAGCTCGGCGGTAAACACACACATGGTCGACGACGACCAGCCCCTGCCCTCTGACCCCCGCAAGCACCTGCGCAGCAGCCTCTGCTTCAGCGGCGACGCTTTGATGGTGGGCGGTAAGGCATCTCAGTCGACTGCGCAAGCGCGGCGCAGCTCCGCCGGACAGAGAATCAGCGTGGGTCTGCCGGATTGAGAGCTCTGAGTTACATGTTTTTCAATGCACCTGCACTGAGAGAAATGCTGTCATCATGGGCAGACACAAATCGTAAGCAACGAAAAACCGTAATTCTGTGAAGAGCAATTTCAAGTTTTAATTAGCAACATTTATTTTGGAAATATTTGCTCAATTAGGAAGTATTTTTTCACAGTGTAGTTAAGCTGACAGCAACAACTTGCAATGCTAATTGAAAGCAACAGATAAGTAAAACGCCGACTGCGATTGCCATAGCAGCAGCAGCATCAGCACCACAGCAACTTCCAACGACAGCAGCAACATTTCTAGGCACGGCAGCGACTCACCCTCCGCTTAAGTTTTCCAGTTTCTTAGTTTTACTTTTGCGATCATCTGCTTAACTTTGACTTCTCCCACATGCGAGTGAATGAGTCGGCTTTTGTTATTTGTGTGCGGTTGGGTGAGCGTAAACAAACCTTGATCTTGACTAACTTGTGAGCCTGCTGTTGTTGTGCAAGCCGATCATGTATTAATTTAGGCTTTAAAGCCAACGCAGAATAATCTAAAGTTGCTATAAGAGACTTATGCTAATAAACTGATACATAACCAAATGAATTTCGAATTGGAAGCTTTCAATTAAGCCATAATCTTAGAATATATATATAGACTAAGACGTTGAACTAATAAAGAGACTTTTAATCGGAAAACAATTCGAAGTTTTAGTTTTAAAAGTGATTGTTAGCAGGTGAATGGTAGCTTTTTATTTGAGTTTCCCCCATTTGCTGAAACTTCGAAAGGCACTCTCTTTAATCAATAAAATGAAGCCATAAATCACGTGCTCGGTAAATATATACCTTTTCGGGCCTCAAATCAATTGATAAGTCTGTAATCGACTTCAAAATGTTATGAATAACAAGAAATTGGTGTGCACTCAGAGCTAGATCTAATCGCGTGGCAAATCGGCTGATCGGGACATTAATATCCCGGACTAATGTAATTTAAGGCACCCTTTCGAGCGGCTCATTCAGATCCCCAGCAATTTGCTGGTCTGGCCAATCAAGTCATTGCTCTGGGCGGCTCACCTGGCCATGCCCATTTTTATTTCCATTCGCAGGTCCCTGCCCCTAGCTCCTTTCACAAAACTTTCAGCCATTTGGGCAGATAGCTAGGAAAAAAAATCATTTTGGTGGCATTGTTAGGAGGCAGCGGAAACTCAACCAGCTCGTCGAAGTCAAGTTTAAGTCCAAGTGCAAGTTTAAGTCGCGACTGGTCGGTGGTTGGCGGTCGGCTTTTGAGTCGTTCCACAAGGAAGAGCCAAATTATGCGGAGCTGAAGTTGCAACAATTGTGGAGGCAATTGTCACGCGTGTTGAACTTGAGCTTGACCTTGTCTTGAAAACGGGGAGTGGAGTGCCACCCATTGCCTGTCCAGCGAATTGCAACAAGTGCAGCAATTATCCGTCATATGCCAGGGGCTCAATCAAGGCGGCATTAGTCGGAGATTTAATTAAGGCATCGCTTTAATTGCCGGCCAAGCTCAAGCCGCCATGGGAACTCAATTTGACAATCCAGAGACAGGATAAGCGGCAAATAATTGTGCAGATGAAGCGTGGTGAAATGTTACGCAAGGCCCTGTCCATATCCATTGTCGTTTCTTTGTCCATTTCCATTTTTATTTTCAACTCCATTTCCACTTCCACCAGCTCCGGGACAAGACAAACTGCCTCCGCTCATGTTCGTACATATAGTATATATCTTCCGCATTTCGATCGCGCATCCTGGCCGATAGAAAGTAGTCCAAGCGTGCCGGCAAAAAAGCAGAAAAGGCCAAAAAGCTGAGCCAGCTGGCTAGCATTTCCTGGCTCGTTTTGGCCCCGGCTGAACCTGAACTTCGGGCCAAAAGCGGAGAGAAGAAAATTGCAGCGTTTATTGGGTAATACTCGTGGAAACCAGTTTGCAGACGAAACTGATTCAAATAAGTCGATAAGCCGACTCTTCTGCTTTTTAGTGGGTGTGTGGCTCGTGCCGGTAGACCTCATGCACTTGAAGAAACTCGTAGTTCAAAGAGCACACATTCCTATTAAGAATGTTGTGGTTTTTAGATTCCAAAAAATATAAAAAACCTCTTGCAGAGAAACGAACCTATTGGGATATAATAAACTATATTGGATGTGATATGACTATGAAATCTTTTTTATTTTAAAACTCTCTAATGCCAAAGTCAACTACTCTACTGAATTGATTTTTAAAAGCAGCAGCTATTAACTTATTGAATTTTATACGCAGCTTCTTAATAAATCTACAAGTTTGTGGTAAATTACACGACATGAAAAAGCTATCAATCTGTGCCCATTAACTTTATTGTCATCCTCATCGCATATCTAATTTGCTTACTTTCCTATTAAGTCACAGACCAAAACTAAAACTAAAACGAAAACCAAAGCCAAAACCCCCGCCGCAGTTACATCTGCGGAGTAGCAAATGGCCATCGTTATGTGTAATTACAGCCATAAAGAAACATTTTATTTATGCCCCGTGCCCCCTTCTAGCTGCCCCATCCGATGGGTTGGCGCTCTATTTCCTAGTGGAAATGCAAATGATGCCTCACTTTGCGAGTTGTAAACTCTTTTTTTTAACTCCGTGTTGTGAGTAGCAAGTCCATGCGTGAAGCGGAGATTTCGATCTGCTACTGACTAGCTCACCTGGCAGGTTTCAATTGCGATTGCCATTGCAAAACATGTTGCAGCAGGTTCGAGGAAGCTGGCATAAAACTGTTGCGTCCGTTGGCCGAACTTTCAGTTTCGTTGGGGCCACGCTGGTGGTTAATACCGTTGAAGAGAGTTTTCATTGCGACATAATCCCCCCGAAAACAGCCCACTCAAGATGAAAGCGTGCTGGAATGTAAGCTGTTACCCCGGAATAATACATCTTCGATTAGACTAAAATGGATTCTTACCCTACAGTTCTTGGCTGCCGCGATGGTAATGCTGATTACGGTCGCTTCTGGGCTGAGACCGCCGAGGTCTTATTATCGGCGTAGCTATTTCAGTGCAATGGCCCCGGGATCTGGGCATGGCTCGGGTTCTTTGCCAGGACCCGTGAGACTAGGACCTGCTGGATACCTGCGTTCGGATCTGCAGACCAATGAGAGCAAGCACCGGCCCTTGAGCAAGAAGTATCCCAAGAAGAGTCATTACAGACCGTATGGATCGGTGAGTGAGGATCGAAAGCCAACCTTAAATTTGACTAGACTAAAAAAAGACTAACTAAATACCTTTAGCAAGAAGAGGATGAATACTCCGGTGAGCGCTACAATTCCGCCGAATATTCCGGGGAGTCATCCGTGCAGGACAGTCGGGAGTACACCATTGGCACCCAGATCAGAGTCCAGCATCCCATCACAGTGCCCAAGAAGTCCAGTAATTCCGGTTACCAGAAACAGCCAAAATACGTAACTGCCATTCCGTATAAGGCCTCGGGCTATGGATCGGATATTCATAAGGCCACTGGTTATGGATCTGATGTTCACATTGGATCTGGTGAGGATGTCGGTCCCCCTCCAAAAAGATCAAAATGGAATCCAGTGCAATACGAAGCGGAAGCCGATCCCTTCCACCTAGTGCCTCCCCCCAAAGCAACCGTCGCCTCTAGCAGCAATTCATACAGTGTTTATGAGCCCGAGCACGATGACTACGAAGTAGTGCCTGTGCATCGACCCAAGAGTCACGATCGCTATAAGAATGTTGCCTCCAAGAAGCAGATAGAGGCGTACCTGGAAGATCAGCAAAAACTGCTTGACGAGGCCATCAAAGTCCAGCTGCTGAACAATCCCAAGCTGCAGAAATTCCTCAAGGCTCAGGCGCAGGAACAGGAGCGTGAGTCCCGGCCAGATCTTGAGATCGAGGACTTCGAGGCGTATCCTCCGAACTTTTCCGGTCCGGGACACCTGCGCGGCAAGTACATCGAGCACCCGCCACCTTCTCCGCCAAAGGGTTCCCGATCTCGTCGGCGCCCTCCAAGCGGAGATCTCAACCGGCCGCCCAAGACCATCATCAAACCCAAACGAAAGTACCGATCCACGGCACTCGTCATCAACGTATGAGAAGGATCGCTTAGTCGTTACTAAATTACTAATTTAATTTTAAAATATAAAGATATGAAAACGTAGGTTAGTCTAACTGTACAGCATAGTTTGTAAATAATAAAAGACCATTTACGTTATTTATTCGGTAAAATCTAGTCATTTGTTTATAGCCATCCTTATCATTCATGAGATTTGGCGAGGGAAATTAGGGATTTTTAAGCTTTTCAAAATTGAAATTTTTTGAACTAAATTGAAGCCCAGATTTTTGCCAGAGTTATATTTCCATTACGGTACTATTGAAAACTGAAATAATCGGGGACCTGACCGACATGACTGTCTCTCTGTATAAACGCTCAGAACTAGGGAACTAGGGAAGTCTGAGAAATAGATGACGCTGGTAAATTTTCTTATTATCATTATACCATACGTTATGTTTTATAGTGGCATTTGATTATAGAATATTTTTTTGTAATCGTAAATAGTAAATCTTTCCTTCTTCTATATGGATCGATCTTTTAGCTTAAGCTAAAATCTAATGCTTTCCCAGCACAAATATATTATCCCACACAATCTACAGAGGCGCCATCCAGCGGTTTTCTGCAAGACCTAAACACCAACGGTTCAGATCTTAGCTAATATTTTTGTGTCTTGACTTTCTGCTGACTGATGAATAGAATTCGTCACTTAAGTAGACTCAGTCTCTAATCTTACGATATTAAAATAATATGAAATCACTTAAGCCAATGCCAAATATACTTTAATTGTTGTTTTCAAGCGGCAACCCGCCAGTTTAATTAAATATACGAGTATTAATTACTCTTCAATTTAATTGAATGCTGGGTTCGTCACACCCGCAGCCCATAAATGGAGCCCAGATCTCGCGACAAAATCTGGCGGCGTTTGCCATTTTAAAAATAAATCGAGTCAATCATAAACCTGTGTTATTCATAAAAATAGCCGTATAAAGCAACCAACAGAACCAACACACCCATGATACACCTGTCCAGGTCCCAGGCAAATTCTTGACTTTTACCTCTTTCGCAAGACCAAACGAAAATCCGCAATTGAGCAAGCCAATTCCATCGATTGCGAATGCCACAAAGGTGGGTGCACACAGGCAGGCGGGAAAGAAATCATAAAAAACAATAAGCTGCGAGAAACAAAACCGAATTGATTTTCTTAATTGACTGAGCAATTTCAACAGAAGCCAGACCCCAAAGCCAGCAAAGGCAGAAATTCAAACTCCGAGCCGGACTCTCGGGTCCACAACAAAACTGACCTTGAAAGCTAAGCTCTGAAAAGTGTTGCTAATATTGTTAATGTAATCGTTGTTGGTGGTGAAAAAGAATGCCAACCGGTGGATGTGGAAAGTACAGAGGGAAAAATAGCAATGCTACTTCGTACCTTATCCTACTTAGTGGTAATGCATTTAAAAAATACTAATAGGTTTCTAGAAACCCAATAAAATGTACATTTTCAAATATTTAATATTATTTTATTAAGGGTTTTTATATTATATAATATTATTTCTCCAGGTGTAGATTAATTAAACAAGAAATTTGCATTTCCAATAATGAGTGACTCCTGTTCAAGAACTATAAAATGATTGTATATAAAAAAGAATAATTAAATATCAGTTTGTGAAATCTTAAAGTGTAAATTGAGCTCCTTCTTCCATTAAGTGCTCGGATTAAGTTGTTCGTAATTACACACCTTTAACTATAGGTTCCGTTGAGAACCCAACAGGTGAGAGGAAACAGCGAATTAGCTGCATTCTTGCGTTCGATGGAGCATAAAAGTGAGTTAAATATTTGGACGTAATTAAGTTGCACTAACTCAACTGGAGCCAGACGGATCTCAATAGCATTGGTACCATTGATTTAGTGCCCCAATCCCCTATTAAGCCAGAGCCACCCCCACTGGGACATGGTTTTCCGGCTCAGGCGCCGAGCTGATTTCATTTTCATTGGAATTTTGCACAATTGGCCAAGATTACTGTCAAATAGGCGAAACCCGTTTGAGGTCTTTCCTTGTTGGCCACAAAGAATCGTAACAGAAACTGAAACTCGTTTTGCATGTACGAAAGTCGGTTGTGTAATGCAGCATTTAGTGGGCGTTCACCGCCCGAGGTGTTTAGATAAATCTGCTGGAAATTCAATTAAAATCCACTGGCCGAAAACAAAAGACTGCAGGACACGAACTTGGTTTCCTTCGTACATATATTGCTCTTACTTACAGCTATGATACAAATTGCTCAGTCGTCCCAAGGCCCAAGATACTACAGGTTATAAATTAAATTTGAAACTGGATCAACATCTTCGAAGTTTATTGGCTTCGCTTCTCTAAACATTAAACGGGAAGTTGGTAGTTGTAAGGGAATAACACAGAGAAAAAGCCCAAATGTCTTTAGATTTTTCTTATATTTCAAAAATATTCGAATGATATTTCGAATATAGCTTTAAATTTATATTGGCAACAGCCAGCGGCAGCGGCGTTTGATTTCTCTGTGTAGGATTATAAATTACAAACAAACAGTACGCATATAGGAAGTACGATACATAGTTACAATTTGCTCTTAAACATATCACACAAGAGTTTTGATGGAGTCAAGAAGAGAAAAGAGTAGAGAAGGGAGGATCTAGTTGTGATAGGGGAGGTTATATAAGAAAAGAGGGTCCCTAATGAAGGAGATGCAACATGTCTGGGTTAGAGATGGGGGACTTAGACCTTAGACCTTGTTGAAGGAGTAGGTGAAGCCATCGGGCGTGCGGTTCAGGGACAGTTTTCCGGGTGGCGAAAAGCGGTGTGGGTTGGGGGTGGTGGTGGTGTAGTACGCCTGCTGGGGCTGTGGCTGCTGGTACTGTGGCTGGTACTGCTGTTGAGGCTGCACGGGCTGCGGGTTGTAGGCGGGCTGGGGAGCAGGGCGGTACTGGGGCTGAGGAGCGGGTTGCTGGTAGCTCTGCTGGTTCTGCCCGAAAGAGGGGTCGTTGTAGCGGGGATCGTAGGATCCGTCATCTCCGTAATCGTTGCTGCGGAAGGAAGACTGAGGCTGGGGAGCAGGAGCCTGGTATTGCTGGGGCTGGTACTGCTGCTGTGGCTGGTATCCTGCCGTGGGCACGGGCTGTGGTGGTGCAGGTGGTGCCTGCGGCAAATGATCTCCAGAAGCTTGGAAGCTATTTAAGAAAAATATTTCAAATTTATCTCTGCTGCATGACTTCGACTCAAGCCAATCCTTACCCATTTTTGCCTGCTGTATAGGAAATGGTGCGCCTCTGTCCAGAGGGATCCACATAGCTGTAGCTGCCATGACGTGTACCGTCCGCATCTGTCTCCTCCTTGAAGTTGATGCCATCCTCCTGCTCATAGGCAGCTCCGAACTTTCCATCTCCGGAGAGGTAACGCTGCTCACTGATAATGGCCGCCGTCTTGGGGTCCTGGTGGTAATGCTGGCTGGAAGCCAAAGCCACCAGGGTGGTCAATGCAAGCTGTTGGGAATTCACAAGTTATTACGTGTCCAGAATCTTAAGGCAATCATTAAAAATAAATTAGGAAATCATTGGATTATAAGATTCTTTTCTCTAGAAAAGTGGCCAATGCAAGGCCAGAGAAAAGTCACTTTAGAAATATATTTTGTAAAGAACTTTTAATAGATGAGACATTCACTTTTTAATTACTATTTAAGAATATTATTTAAAAAGGATAACATTGGCACAGTTTTTTTGAAATTTAGGAAATTTCTAGCATTGCTCTTAGTTCCTTCTTAACTTTCCGAATCTTTGAAACACAACTCACAAATCTGAACATTTTGGTATTTCGAATTTGGAATATCCTTGTCAAGCGTAAACTGCACACTATTGGTCTCTCTTTCTCGTAGGGGGATTCACACGCGCCTTTACGCTTACAAGTCGGCTGTTTGGGAAATGGGACCGACGGCAACGGATTTGTGGAGTTAACTGCCTTCCGCAACGGCGCCGCCCAAGCTTTTTATAGTCCGAGCGGGAACCTTGGATCGCTGGATCGCCGATCGACTCCGCCTAGGCACTCCAAGCCATGTAATTGTGTTGGTACTAATAGCGTTAACGGCAACAACAACTCGGCCAACTCGGCGTAACAATAACAAGAATCGAGCTAAGTGCTCCAATAAGTCAACTTTGGGCGAGTATTGGTATCGCGGTCGTGTTGCCAAGTCGTTTTACCAGTTTCGATCTCTTTCGCTTGGAGCGCCAACTTTTGCTTTCTATATATATATACGTATATATGCTACTACATGCACTCACTATCTGGCTGCAGCGGGCCCAAGCCCAAGACGAAACTATTTTTTAATTATTTCAAAAGTTTTCCAGCTCCGACCCGGTGCCCAGGTATCCCTCATCTGCGGGGGATCTATCGCAGAGTAGGAATTATCAATTGGTTCTGCTGGGAATGATGGAATAGTTTAATTTGGTAATACGCGAAAATGCCGGAAAGTAATTGGGAAAAATTAATCAAATGAGGATTAGGGGAGGGTTTATTTAATATCTCTTGATTATGATGCATATCGTTTTCTAGTCTCAATAGTAAATATTTAGAACGAAATATAGAGAGATTTATAAAAGCAGATTTTAATAAAGTAAAGAAACAATCCCTAAAGATTAGATTATAAGTATAGCAGCCTAAAATTCATTCTCTGCCGAAAAGAAAAAACTAAAAAGTTATGTAAGCCACCTTGCCCTGAAGTAGAAACTCGCTAGTTTTCACTGAAATATGTTTATGGGTGCAACACGAAAGTCATAAAATAGTGAAGATATATACTTCTGATAACCATTTTCTTTTACTAGTTTTAAGCTAAGGCTATGTATAAATCTGAAACTTACAACTAATTGGAAGCAGTTAGAGCAGCTTAATTTTCCCAGTGTGAAAAACTGTCGATTGTGATGAATATCTGGGCGGTCGCCCTCTTCAGAAAATCCACCAGATCTTGGGAAATTCGCCAAATGAGCGTTGTTTTCTTCCCCTCTCAAAGTTGTTAAGCCGTTGCTTGGCTCTTAGCTGGATTTGCATTTGAATTCTGCATGTGCATGGCCACGTTGATTTATATCTAGATCGCACTGAAAAGCTGGACTTTGTGGTGTGGCCAAAAGCGCTTGGCAACAATCGCCGGAGTTTCTGCAATGTGTTTGACTTGTTGACTCCGCGCTGGCTTCAATTATTTATTGTGTTTGAAATGTCTGGCATTGTTTGGGCTTGTTTATGGACAAAACAGTTGGCTGCCACCCACATGCTACACGCCTCTCCCACGCCCCCGCCGCCCACTTTGCATAATGTTTGCAGAGAACTTTTGGCATTATTTATGATCTAACGATCGAAACGGATCTGCAACCCCAAGACAGGGCCACGTGAACTTTATTATTTATTTCTTAATAAATTATATCAAAAGACTGATAAATGTAAGTTAAAGAGGTCTTGGGATTTAAGGGAAAAGGAACGAGTTTTTTTACATAGGTTCTGACATATTTTCTTAATTTCCCACATGCTACATGTCCATTTTCTCAGCATGTTAGAGTAGGTAAACAGAATTAGAGCATTTAGGTATGCAAATCGGTTTTCCATATTTTAATGAGCGATTTCCACACACTGGCACACTCTCGCCGACAAAGCAGCCGCATGTGGTCGTAGATCTCGAGTAGCAACACTCTCATTTACACCGCTATTTGCCCTTTTGCAAGTCGCCATCGTCATCGTCGTCATTTCCATGGTCATTATCCGGCGGGCTTGTTTGTGTGGCCAAAAACCGAGAACGCCCTCTCGCAGCAGGAGGCGGCAATCAGAACAGAGAGCGGTGAAAAGGAGGAGGAAATTAAATCAGTTGACAAACGACAACAACAAGAACAGCAGCTATAGCATATAGCCAGGGAATACATACCTATATCTGAACGCCATGGCAAGGAGGCGAGAGCAAGACCAGCGGATCCAAGGTGAAGTTGAGCAGCAGAGCATGGCCGGATTAGCTTGAGGGTGTGCCCTTCGGAGGGTTGAAACAGTGCAGCTACAGTGATCACTCGAAAACAGTTTTGTGATATAATTTGTTAATACTTAAAATAAGGGTTTTTAGGGTTAATCTGTTACTAAGTTCATAGATCTATAAGTATACTAATATTAGTCTGACCTATTGGTTTGGTTTTCATATATTTTAAATTTACTTTCTTTGTTAAGTTTTATGATTGTTTTTCTAGGGAATCTTACACTTTCTATTCCTCATTAAAACACAAAAACCATTTATAAACAGTTTTCTAAGTGAAGTAACATGAATATTTGCCATTTCGAGCGATCACTGTACTGCCGCTGAGTCCTTTATCCGTTGGCCTCTCTGCTGCTGCCTTTTTGATTTCCATTTCGATTTCGAGGCGTTTGCCTGATGCGACGATACTGCCACCCAGGATTTCAGGGGGAGGGCGTTATATCAGAAGGTCGATGTTGTTGTTATTTCTGTTTTGATTGCGCCGCCGTCTCCGTTGGCCAGAAAGAGACGCAAGAGGTCCCATTCAGCGTTTTGTTTGTCGGGCTTTCACTTTGGCCGAGTTAATCGCAATCGGCGAACAAATAATGAGGGTTCAGCCCTCAGGGAGGGGGATGCATGCAAAGCAGAGCATTTGCTACGTCCACAGCCATGCTGCCATAATTCCACGTTGTCTCTCAATTATTTCAGCTGCCAGAGTTTTTCGAACCCAAAAACCCAAAAGTCTGAGTCAGGATTCCAGAGTAGGAAACTACCACCCGAACAAAGCGAAACGAGCTGGGAGATAGATGGGCAGACAATTGCGATTATTTGTAATTCAAGATGCAGTCGAGCGTTTTCTGAAATCGAGCGAGTCAACTCCGCGCGGAAGGTTAACAAAAATTTAATGCTAAATGCTTATCGCTGCCATCATCACCATCTACATCTCCATTTCCATCAGAAGTCAAAACCGAAACTCGCTAAACTTGTTGGGAAATACGATCCATTTATTCCTGCTGGAAAAATGTGAGAGAGAGTGAGCGGAATAAGGAGTCTGAAATGGGGAGATGGTGATTTGATAGCTGATTCATGGATGACCCTACAACCTAGGCAAAAGTCACTCAGACAACTACCAATGCACTGCGGAAAATTGAGAACATTTCACAGGATATAAGTTCTATGAGTACTTGTGCAGAATGAGTTCTTGGAAAAACAGTTCAAGTTATAGTTCTCTTTGTAGAAATTTCAACATTTCAGAAACATTTCCCCCTTCAAAAACCCGGAATTTGTTAGGGAATATATCCATTATTTCTTCCTCTGTATTTCTCCTAACTACTGTCGATCCAAATCCGACTTCCAATGGCTCATCCTTGATGAATGTGTAACATGATATATATTCCCATCTTCCGTGTAAGTGCCCGCTAATTGCGCATCTGCTGAAATTTCATTTTCATTTTCCTTAACAAGGTTTCGCTTACCGTTTGACTTTTCCCCCGGCTTAGCAGCCTTGCCCAGAAATCAGAAATCAGTTGTCAGCCGCCATTTAAGCCATTTAAGTGTCGCATAACTAACGTGGTTTATGGCATTTAAAGCGCCACTGGACCAGTTTCCCCACACGCACACACACGCATTGGCCCGTTGGCAATATCAAGGTCATTCGACTTGTATCATTGCGTGATTTCTCTTGGGGCGGCCGAGGGGGCGGTGGAAAACGAGTTTTCGTATGCGTAGCGGTTTTCGCACTGCACTCGCATTCGCAGTCTTCCGCATTTCGGGGGCATGATCACTGGGTTTGGCTGTCTGCGCAGTGTGCGAATATGCAAATCGGATGGGGAGTGACGTCAAATATTTGTGAGGTGGAAAAGGAAGCGGAAAACCACTCACTGAGAGAAAGAAAGGTGACTTTTGTACTTAAAACGGTATATCCAAAGGATTCAAATTGTTTATTTATGCGAAATAATTTTAAAATGACTCCTTAATGGTCCATTCTGAACGTAATCTCATACTTTTACTCTGTGCTGAGTAGAATTCATCTTGATACCATTATCCTGCCAGCTTCATCACAGATTAATTTTCTGCTTCCCGTGACTTTTGTGAATTAACTGCCTGCCCTTGTCCTTGAAATGTGGCATGCCACTGTACAGTTGCACTTTTCGAAAGTTGTTTTGGAGCCGCCCAAATTGTTGACCTTGTCGAAGGAGTTGGTGCATTGAACCCGAAAGATTGAAATAATGGGGCCCAAGAATGTACTGGTCACTTTTGGGGGGAAGGAGTAATCGACCACAAAAACTTTTCCACTTGCAGGCAAGACGGCAACACTTATCCGAAGACCAAGAAAAATCTGCAATAATTTGAATATGATATCTGGTAAGCCAGCAGCAGCTACGTGACTGGAAGGCGAGAAGGTCAGCCCACAAATGAGACAATTAAAGTGATGTTGACATCTATTCATTGGCGAAAATGATTCATGATTCAACGCACATTACACATTAATAACCAGCGCTGACAAAATGCTATTAACCAATTTATGATAGCCATACATAATCGCGGTTTCAATGTCACATCAGAGGGGGTTTGTACGAGTATCCAAAGGCATTTTCGGAGCGGCATGCAAACAAGTGAGCGATTAATTGCACTGGCAGCGGCGACATTTCGACAAATCGGAATCACTCAAACAATCCCCTGAAAAATGGCCATTGAATTCCGGTTGATTGTGCCCCGTTTGTGGGACAATGTCAAACGTCAAAGTGCAAGAATTTGACAGCCAATAAACAAACAGAGCCTCGAATAAAAAACAAATACCATGGACGGGGCCCAGTTCCGCTCTCATGACACGGCACTAAATTATTATCGAAAAATACGTCCACTTGACGGGCTCACTGGTAATCGATTTGATATTTAGACCTCACCTCCACTCAGCTCGCTTTCGGGCCACTCGACTCGAGTGTCTCGGCTCCTTTTTCACAGG